TAACATTGTGAAAGTTTAAAGTGCACAGCATGACAACTTGCTATACAGAGAAGTGTAGAAAAGTTTTCACCATAATAATAACCTCACATATTTACTTACTTTTTTTGTGGTAAGAACATTTAATATCTACTCTCTTAGGAACTTTTGAGTATATAATATTGTATTGTTAACCATACTATTAGTCATCATACTGAATATTAGATCCCCAGAACTTATTCACCTCATAACTGAAAGTTTGTACCCTCTGATCAACATCTCCCTAAATTCCCTCATCCCTACCTGTTTTTGAAAACCACCAATTTCCTCTCTTCTTTGAGGTGGCTTTTTTTTTCTTTGACTCTCCATTTTTCAAAAAAAAAAAAAAAAGACTCCACATTTCAGTGACATCATACATTATTTTTTTCTCTATCTGACATTTCACTTAGCATAAGTTTCATTCATTTTGTCACAAATGGGAACATTTAACTCTTTTTCATTGCTGAGTAATATTCCATTGTATGTACATACTACATTCTCTCTATCCACCCATCCAAAAGTAGACTTATGAACTGTAGCTAGAAGGGGCTGGAACTGAGTGTAGGGCCCTTTCAGGACCTCTGAGAACACAGACAGAAGTGTCTCCTACTGGATGCCTGAGCAGCAGGTCTGCAAATGGACTGTAGCTGTGATGGGGTTGCAGCTAAGTAGGGAACTCTTCAGCATCTCTGGGGACACCGCTTTTGAGTGTCTATTGCTTAGTCTGCATGTTACTGTGACAGCTCTCAGATGGTAGCTAGAAGGGGCTGAAACCAAGTCTGGAATCTTTACAGAATCTCTAGGTTACAGATTAGAGTGATTCCCTCTGTGTCCCTGAACCCTCAGGGCTGTTGGCAGACTGGTCATGAGGAGACTGGAGTTCAGTACAGGAAACTTTCAGGACCCTGAGGTGCAGACAAGAGTGCTTCCTGCCTGGTTTGCTCTGCCAGGCTACTTGAGGACTGTGGCTTGGACAGGAAACAGCCCAGTTACAGGGCCTTCTCAGAATCCACAGTCTGACCAAGTTTGTCCAACTTGCCTCTGGGGATCCCACAGGGTTTGAGCCAGTTGTGGGCCACTTCAAGGTCTATAGCTGGGACAGAAGTCTGGATGTTTATTATTCAACATGGAGTGGGCATGGCTCCTCTTGGTTTCCTTGGCATATGATGTTAGTAACAGAGCCAGAGAGAACCATACTACCACTGAGTTCTCAGCGGTACAGAACTTTTTGCCATGTCTGCAGCCTGGAACCCACTCTCTGGATCAGTCATCTGGTTGCAAGCCTCACCTCTCAAAAGGTCATTGTCTGTCTTGGACTGTACCCAGATTTCACAATCTCCTGTCTGAATCTCAGGGCTCCCACAAGACACATATGTCTGTGAATAAATGCCAAATCATTGTTAGGGGCAGATGGGGGTACATGATGGATATCTTATTTGTTCATCCTGTTCAAAATATCTGGAAGGATAACAGCCTCTCTCCTAGTATCTCTTCCAGGATACCTTGATTATTCTTAGCCCTTTGCTCTTCTAAATAGGTTTCTAAAATTAAATATGAAATTCTAAAAAAAAAAGTTAAGTTTCATGAATCTTGGGATTTTGAGATTTAGTGAGAAATACAAGGAATCACAATGAATCAGTGGGTAAAGAATTCTTCTGAAATGCAGGAGATGCAGGAGACAGGGGTTCTATCTCTGAGTTGGGAAGATCCCTTGGAGGAGGGCATGGACACTCACTCCAGTATTCTTGCCTGGAGAATTCCATGGACAAAAGGGCCTGGCTGGCTACAGTCCATAGATTCACTTCATGACTGAAGTGACTGAGCACGCAAGCATGAGCAAGGAATCTGTAGATAAATTTGGAGAGAATGAACAACTTTGTGAATTTTGATTTTCCTATCAATGAACATAATAGCTCTATTTATTTTCCATAAAGGGTTTCAGCAAGACTTTATAATTCTAATCTGCATATTTTATGAATCTCTTCTTATTGCTAGTGGGATATAAAATGGTGCAGTCACTTGGGAAACACTTGGTGGTTTCTTATAAAAGTAAATCAATTCTTACATACTATCACACATCTTGGTATTTACTCAAAGGAATTGAGAACTTATGTTTACACAAAATGTGCATGTTTATAGATATTTATAGAAATTTCATTCCTAACTTCCCAAACTTGGAAGAAACCAAGTAGTGAATGAATAAACTGTGGTAGATCTAAAGAAGGAATATTATTCAGCTCTAAAAAATGAGTTATCAAGTCCCCGAAAAGCATCAAACCATGGGAGCACCTTTGTGCATATTATTAAGGAAAAATTCCAGGCTGAGAAGTCTATGTACTGACATTCTGTAAAGGCAAAACTATGGAGACAACAAAAGATCAATGGTTTCCAGGGTGTGGGATGAAAGTGAGGGATTAATACGCAGAGCACAAAAGAATTTGGGAAGAGTGAAAATACTCTGTATGATACCATATTGATTGATACATGTCTTTATTATTTGTCTAAGATCACCCAATCTATACTCAGTGTTAATTATTATGTAAACCATGAACTTTGGTGATTATAATGTTTCAGTGTGAGTTCATCAACTGTAACAAATGTGCCATTCCGTTGGAGATGTTGATAATGGGATAGTCTATGCAGATGTGAAAACAAGCATATGTGGGAAATATCTCCACTTTTCCCTCAATTTTGCTATCATCCAAAATTGCTCTAAAAAATAAAGTATTAATTCATAGACTGTGATACAGAAATCATACATGTTAGTTTTCTAGCCTGTCTTTAAAAGAAATAAATCGTCTAGGAAGCCTAGTAAGGTTGTCTCTGGATTAATATCTATTGCTTGCATGAGTTACCGCTGAGAGATTGGTACCTGTCCTCTGCTGAATACCTCAATCTGTCTCATCTACAATGGAGCATTTTGTCATACATTCAGGCTCCCTCTAAGAATTCTTTGAAACTAAAAGGTATCTCAGTAGACTCATCATGAAGGATTAAAATAATAGATTCAAACAGCAACAATATTTCCATGGTAATTCAAATTTAGTGGCCATTGATCAATTATTTGTAAATTTTATATTGTGTTTATAACTCATTTTGTGTAACAAAATAATAACAGGAAAAAAGATTGATGGTAAAGTTTAATTCCATATTTTTGTTTTACAGGTCCTCAGCCTAACATTTAGAATGTCTTAAGAAATTTACAACTTTTTCATACTTTAGCACAATTTTGTTCTTGTGTTGATATGTATTTCATACCGTGCATAACTGCTTCAAATAAAGAATTTTAGTATACTAAGTATACTAAAGTACTAAGTATTTTACTAAGTACTAAAGTACTTTACTAAGTACTTTACTAAAGTACTAAGTATACTTTAGTGTACTAAAATACTTTAAGCTATGTCTTTCAAAAATATTTTGCACTATGATTTCTCCTAAGGACTTAGTAATCAAGACAGGATGTCACACACATGGAGCAACACATCTAAAAAACAAAAGCATGTTTGTGGAGAAACTGTGGTGTTTTGTTCTCATCCAGTCTTTGGCAATTTCAAGCTAAGTTTCCTTGGAAATGGCTTTTTTATTATCAAGTTAATCATTGCCTATATAACTTCAGCTGAGCAAGTGAGCACACACGTGCACATAAAACTTCTGACATATATCCAAATACTACAAAATAGTAACAATTCTTCAAAAAGGATATTCAACCGGAAGTACATAAAAACACCATTTCTGAATAGAATCTTTAAGAAAGGAACATTGCCATCTTAATTTTTCTTTACTTAGATGCAACACATATTTTTTGTGTATACAAATGATTGAGTAATTTGCAAATATTTGTTCTTTACAAATCTCCTAAAATGAATATATAGAATATATCCTTTTCATAAAACATTATTTCAAGGTGACACTCAAATGTGTGATACTAGTAATCCATGCATGTGTAATCTGCATTCCAAAGGGGGTTATATTAGGTTTAAGTTACTCAGGGATTTCCTATGGAGAAAATAATAGCAAATCAATGAAGGGATGAGATTTGACTCAGCAAGACAAGGTAAATTGATACTGGTGGGATTCTTCAACAATGTGAGTGAACCCGAAACTGTAACAAGCCGAAAGGTAGAAAGATGGTCCTGATTGGAAATTAGAAAACCCCTGAGAGCTGATTTGGTGTTTATGGTGGTTTAGTTGCTAAGTCATGTCTGACTCTTGTGACCCCGTGGACTGTAGCCTCCCAGACTTCTCTGTCCATGGGATTTCCCAGGTAAGAATATTGCAATGGGTTGCCATTTCCTTCTCCAGGGGATCTTCCAGACTCAGGGATCAAACCCACATCTCTACTATTGCCAGTGGATTCTTTACTGTTGAGTTGTCAGGGAGGTCCTTTGTGTTAATAGGATGTAGCTAATCTGCCATGCGGATAAGGCAATGTCATCCCACTCCAGTACTCTTGCCTGGAAAATCCCAGGGATGGGGGAGCCTGGTGGGCTGCTGTATATGGGGTCACACAGAGTCGGACACGACTGAAGTGACTTAGCAGCAGCAGCAGTAGCAATCTGCCATGGGCCATTTAATTGGAGAGAAACCATTTGTATGGAATACATCAGTACTTGGAGTTGTGGTTAAAATTTTTGATTGAATTTATTTCCTGAAAGAACTTATTTTTGTCAAAGAATTGCATTTTTATTTGATTTTATTGAGTTTGTTTTATTTTACATACTACTGTTCTTTTCCTACCTAAACATTCTTTCTCCCTCCCTCCCACTTCCCATCCTTCCTCTCTACCTTTCTATCTTCTTTCTTTTCTTCCTTCCTTTTCTTCCTCCATCTTTCATTAATACTTTAAATTTCATTTCCTTTTAACATCTAAATGTGATAAGTAATCAAGAGTCCCTTCATAGAACATCAGAAAATCAGTGGTGCAATTTTTTCCCAGCAAATATGTATGCTAATAAGTTCAAGTCTACTTCCTTCATTTTATCCAGGAAGACCCACTACGCTATGTGAGACCATGGGTAAAGCAGAGATTTGGCTCATCAGGACATACTGGGATTTTGAATTTCCTCGTCCATACTTACCAAATTTTGAGTTTGTAGGTGGACTGCATTGTAAGCCAGCCAAACCATTACCTAAGGTAGGTCTAATACAGTGGAAAGCTCTTTCGTACTTTATATAATATCCTAATTTTCTTTTAAAGCTTGCAGTATCTATGACAGAGATACGCTTGCTGCTGAATTGCTTCAGTTTTCTACTTCAAATCTATTTTCAAAATCATAGGAGAAGTCTCTTATGAATAATGTTACCTTTTTTGACTTGAATAGTTAATCAGAAGGATGAAATCTTCCAAGTGCCATGTTAAAAATATCAGTGCGTCCATAGTGTAGACATTGGATTGAAAAACAGGAAGCTAGAACCTTGGCTATTATTAAGGAGACTGCTGCTGTCTTCCTGAGAAGCATGATGCAGTTATAAATAGGGACATTTACTATGGTCATTTGAGTGATAAAGATGCTTTCATAAAAGCTAAGTGTTGATGGAAGACATGGGACTAGACAGGGCTTCTTGGAAAGCAGTAGACTTTACTGAGCCAGGAAAGAATTGCTTGAAAAAACGTTTTTGAGATGAAAATGATACATTCAATTTCAAATTCACTTTAAGAAGGCAAAGGGATTTTCAGGTGAAGATTTCTAAAAATCATCCGGTTAGTACAAGATTTCAGTCGCAGCTGAGAGCACTGGAAATAAACTTGGGAGTCATTAATGTAAATTAGAAATCATAACTGAGAAACCAAAATGCTGAATTTGCTCTTTATGACTGTGATATCAGGAATTTTTTTGGAGTAAAAAAGAAAATCATGCACCCATATTCCAATGTTATCAAGAATAAATAAGGACTGCCAGAAATATCAGAAGAAAGCAATATTTAGAAGCATAAAAAGAGAATAGTAGGTAAACAAAGTAAGAATATTTTACTTAACTATATTCATCAACAGGCAGTGAAGAGATAGATATTTATTTGTTTGTGTTATAGGTAAATGAGCATACTCTTTGTACAAGAGGGCAGGTTAAATGATGTTCCCATAAGAGTTCTTGATTTCACTTTAGAGGAAGATGGATATTGAAGTTTAAAATTTCACTTCCGGATTGCGAATATGCATTTCATACCAATAGGTTATAGCTAAAGACAAGCTCCACTGAGTGTTATTACTGGAGATAAGAAACCAATATCTAAAATAAATAAAGGTACAGAAGGATGCATGACATATTCCATGGCTCACTTGCCACATCATTATGTTTATCATTCCACTCCCACTTTTCTCATGCAGATGATTTCAGAAAAATAGCTCAGACATGTTTCATAAGAGGGGAAATGTATTCCATTCCAAAACCCAGTTATTAATATAGACATTTCAGCAACATGAATTCCAATCATGGCTTATCATTCTCATGAAAGAATTATGCCAATCACTGGACACACAAAATAGAAAAGCAGTGAAATTAAACTAAGAAACTAAATCAAACAGATAAGTGTATAATTCTTATACACAGGTATGTGTGTCTATGTCTGTGTGTGTGTGTGATTTTTTTTATTTTCAATCACTGTCTATGTAGGGAGATGAATCATAAAGATAAAACACCAATTCCTAGGACATCAGATATTCTCTTAACTTTAACCGAGCTAAAAAGAGTGACCTGCTTTTGTTTATGGCATTGTCCTTTCCTTGATAATTTTACTAGCCTTTAACTGAGAAACACCAGTGATTGCAGGATAACCACAGATAGTTACAAAGAGATGACACATCTCTAGAAGGTGACATTCACATAGATAATGAGGAAGACCTCAATCCCAGACTTTGCTGTCCCCAATTTGCACAACTTCCCAGGTGGCGCGAGAGGTTAAGTACCCACCTGCCAATGCAGGAGACTGGGTAAGATATGTGAGTTTGATCCCCAGATCAGGAAGTTTCCCTGGAGGATGAAATGGCACCATGATGCGCTCCAGTCCATGAATTTCCAAAGAGTTGGACATGACTGGAGCAACTTAACATGCAAGTGATAATCAAGAGAAGTTTATTTGCAGAGAAATGTATAATTTACTTCTGTTCTAAGACCCACATTTTGGGCACGTAGTCAGTGTCACACTCTTGTGAGACAGAAGCCCTGTCTTATAAGTGTTATGATGATTGTAACTGGTTTTTACTACATTATCTTTTTTTTCAAATATATTACTATGTATAGCAATTGTTTAAAGTCCTTTTAACCCTATTAAACAGGGAGATAATAAACATGAGGAAAATATCCTAAATACCTAACAGGAAGCTAGATAAAGTTATTCAAAAGGTATTGACTGTAAACTGGGATGCTAAAATTTTTAAAAGCCTAATTCAGAATCCTTCTTTGGGCTTTCTTCCAAAGAATATTTTTACAAGTTTGCAGACAGGTCTGTTGGCTCATAAAATTAAACTTTGGGAGTAATAGTTCCATGCACCATAAGAACATCTGCCTTTTATCACCTATTCATTTTGTATAATGGTTTGGTTTCATGTTTTCATGTTTTTATTGTGTAATTACCCATTGTATATTTAGCCCATCATTTCAGAAATACATTTCCTTTTAACAAGGCTAGATGGTTCTATATGGCAGAAGACAGAATCAGTCTAACAATGTCCCTCACACATCTCTTGAATCTTCTAATTTATAAGTGTAAGAGAGCCTTTTCCCTCCAGTAATTGGCACTTATGTAATAAATATAATTTTGTTGATGTGTTCAGTTGTTCGGTCACATCTGACTCTGCAATCCCATGGATTGCAGCTTCTCTGTCCTTCACTGTCTCCCAGAGTTTGCCCAAACTCATGCCCATTGAATTAATAATGCAATAAAATATAATCTTATCCCTGCAGGAAATGGAAGAATTTGTTCAAAGTTCAGGTGAAGATGGTATTGTGGTATTTTCTCTGGGGTCAATGGTCAAAAATCTCACAGAAGAAAAAGCCAATCGTATTGCCTCAGCTCTTGCCCAGATTCCACAAAAGGTTAGTATAAACTCCAGTCCTGGTGAGCAGAGTCACTTTGCAATTGTAGAGAGTGCATGGCTATTAGTATTCTTTCCAGATAAAAGTTGTAACTCATCCTTCCTTGAACAAAACTGACACCACCTTTAAGGAAAAATGTCTCGAAAGATTCAAATGTATTTGGGATACACTTAACCACTTTCTTACTGAACCTTCACATTACTATAAAAATATATCTTTTCATGAAGTCATTTATTTTCAATGACATAGAGATGAAATGATAAGATTCTAGTAATTTTTCCATATCAGTTAACATTTACCAGCATTTATTAAATGCCAGATACTCTGCCACATCTTTTATACTCATAATCTTATTTAATTATTAGATTGCCCATTATGAGGTAGTGGTTTCCGCTGGTCACGTACACATCCCAGGAAACTGAGGCTTATAGGGGTGAAATAATCTGCTGAGGACCACACAATTAGTATATGGTAGTATTATGTCTGCTGGACTCCAGGGAACATAGCCTTAACCTCTCTGTTATTCTGCTGGCCATTCTGTCTACTCCAAAAAATGAATACACCATCCCAACCATGGTCTTTCAAAAAGGACAGGAAAGATTCCTTGAAAGATCTGAGAGCCAAGTCACCTTGGTAATGGGGAAAAAGCCCAGAAAGTACAGTCCCATCTTCAAGGAGCATACAGCCAAATAAAAAGGCTAGATCAACATACAGACTAATGGGAGAGTGGCCCAGACAGATGAAACTGACTGTCTAGATATGCACTAATTTATTTAGACAGCTATAACTCAGTCAGTTGGCACATGTATCCTATTGCCTTCATTTCAGTTCAGTTGCTCAGTCATGTCCAACTCCTTGGGACCCCATGGTCTGCAGCATGCCAAACCTCCTCCCTGTCCATCACCAACTCCTGGAGTTTACTCAAAGTAATGTCCATTGAGTCGGTGATGCCATCCAACCAACTCATCATCTGTCATCCCCTACTCCTCCTGCCTTCACTCTTTCCCAGCATCAGGGTCTTTTCTAGTGAGTCAGCTCTTTGCATCAGGTAGTCAAAGTATTGGAGTTTCAGCTTTAGCTTCAGTCCTTCCAAATGAATATTCAGGGCTGATTTCCTTTAAGATAGACTGGTTGGATCTCCTTCAAGTCCATGGGATTTTCAAGAGTCTTTTCCATCACCGCAGTTCAAAAGCATCAATTCTTTGGCACTTAGCTTTCTTTATAGTCCAACTCTCACATCCATACACGACTATTGGAAAAACCATAGCTTTGACTAGACAGACCTTTGCTTGCAAAGTAATGTCTCTGTTTTTTAATATGCTGTCTAGGTTGGTCATAGCTTTTCTTCCAAGGAGCAAGTGTCTTCTAATTTCATGGCTACAGTCACCACCTGCAGTGATTTTGGAGCCCAAAGAAATAAAAGTCTGTCACTGATTCCATTCCATCTATTTGCCATGAACAGATGGGACCAGATGCCATGTTATGATCTTAGTTTTCTGAATGTTGAGTTTTAAGCCAACTTTTTCAGTCTCTTCTTTCACTTTCATCAAGAGGCTCTTTAGTTCTTCTTCACTTTCTGCCATAAGGGTGGTGTCATCTGCATATCTGAGGTTATTGATATTTCTCCCGGCAATCTTGATTCCAGCTTGTGCTTCATCCAGCCCAGCATTTCTCATGATGTACTCTGCATATAAGTTAAATAAGCAGGGTGACAATATACAGCCTTGACGTACTCCTTTTCCTATTTGGAACCAGTCTGTTGTTCCATGTCCAGTTCTAACTGTTGCTTCCTGACCTGCATACAGGTTTCTCAAGAGGCAGGTCAGGTGGTCTGGTATTCCCATCTCTTTCAGAATTTTCCACAGTTTATTGTGATCCACACAGTCAAAGGCTTTGGCATAGTCAATAAAGCAGAAATAGATGTTTTTCTGGAACTCTCTTGCTTTTTCGATGATCCAGCGGATGTTGGCAATTTGATCTCTGGTTCCTCTGCCTTTTCTAAAACCAGCTTGAACATCTGGAAGTTCACGGTTCACGTATTGCTGAAGCCTGGCTTGGAGAATTTTGAGCATTACTTTACTAGCGTGTGAGATGAGTGCAATTGTGCGGTAGTTTGAGCATTCTTTGGGATTGCCTTTCTTTGGGATTGGAATGAAAACTGACCTTTTCCAGTCCTGTGGCCACTGCTGAGTTTTCCAAATTTGCTGGCATATTGAGTGCAGCACTTTCACAGCATCATCTTTCAGGATTTGAAATAGCTCAACTGGAATTCCATCACCTCCACTAGCTTTGTTCATAGTGATGCTTCCTAAGGCCCACTTGACTTCACATTCCAGGATGTCTGACTCTAGGTGAGTGATCACACCATCGTGATTATCTGGGTCGTGAACATCTTTTTTGTACAGTTCTTCTGTGTATTCTTGCCACCTCTTCTTAATATCCTATATGCCTTGCACCATGCTAAATGCTTTACATCTGCTGTTTTAAGTGTCTTTTTTTCATTGTGGTAAAGTTCACATAATAGAAAACATACTATTTTAACCACATTTAGCTACAGTTCAGTGGCACTAAGTATATGCACATTGTTAAGCAACTGCTGCCATCATCCATCTCCTGGATATTTCACCTTCTTAAACTGAAACTCCGTCCCCATTGAACACTAACTCCTCATTCTCCTTCCCAACTTTCTCTAATAAAATTATACTTTTTGAAGTCTTACAACTAGTACGGTCTCTTTCCTAAAGTTTTCAGATATGTCAGCTTCAAGGTTCAGGAAAAGAGAGGTTACACATAGAGTAGCGGGCATCACATTCTAGAATATTCTTCATATTTCTAGGCTTTAGTAGAACTCAAGGTATAATTGGTTTAGAAATAGAAGCCTAATCTTTCTAAATTGAATTTTCTACAGTGAAAATCCTACATGTTAAAAATCCTAATCTACAGTTAAAATCTACAGTTAACCCTATCTACAGTTAAAAATCCTAATGTTGATGTCAGCATATATTTTCTGCTTTATGATATTCAACTAACTTTAATTTTGTTTATTCTAGATTTCTACTCTTTATATACTCTCATTCATGAAGCATCATCTCTTTATATTTTTATGTTAAAGTACATAAAACTCTGTAAGTGTACTAATTAGCCCTGTTAAAACTCTATATTTTTTAGTTTAGACTGTTCTGTTAAAGAGGTTGCCACCAGTTAACATTTAATCTGAACTTTTTCATACAGAGTTCCCAAAAGAAAAATAATTATGTAACAAGTGGCTAGCATCCTAGCAAGATACTTCATTAAATATTAGAGTATAAACAAATCCTCTATCTCATCTCCACTCAGAAACAAAAAAGAGAGAAATTGAGAAAAGGAGAGAGAGAGAGAGAGGAAGAAAGACAGAGAGGGAAAGAAAGAGAAAAAAGGAAAGAAAAAGAAAGAAGGAGAGGACAGAAGGATGGAAGGGAGGGAAGGAAGACAACAAATCATCATCCAAAAAGCAGACTTCCTGTGATAGTTGAAAGGAACATATCAATACAGAAGAAGTAGTTTGCAAACATTGAGTTAAAGTAAAACTAATTGCCTTTAACCATTTGCCTTTACCTTTTTGAAAAGGGCTTGCACTAATAGTCTATTAAGAGGTTTTGGAAGTGAGACTGCGGGTGAAGTAATAGAAAATAAGCAGGACTAGTTTAGGAAGAACATGAGGGTTAAAATGCATTAAAACAAACATGATTACGATGTAAATTTACTTGTCATGAGGCCATCCTATTGGCAATTAGTTTTACTTTATCTCAGTGTTATCAAACTACCTCTTTTGTATTGATATGTTCCTCTCAACTATCATAGAAAGTAGGGGAAAAGTATGTGGTGAAAGTGAAGTCGCTCAGCCGTGTCCTACTCTTTGCAACCCCGTGGACTGTAACCTACCAGGCTCCTCCATCCATGGGATTCTCCAGGCAAGGATACTGGAGAGGGTTGCTATTTCCTTCTCTAGGGGATCTTCCCGAACCCGGGTCTCCCACATTGCAGGCAGACGCTTTACCCTCTGAGCCACCAGGGCAGTCCAAGTATGTGGGGAAGTTGCCCATAAATGCTTCCTACCAAGTGGTGCTAGTGGTAAAGAAGCCACGTGCCTGCCAATGCAGGAGACAGACACGGGTTCGATCCCTAGGTCTGGAAGGTCTCCTGGAGGAGGACACAGCAACGCACTCCAATATTCTTGCCTGGGGAATCCCGTGGACAGAGGAGCCTGGCAGGCTACAGTTCTTAGCGTCACACAGAGTCAGACACGACTGAAGCAACTTAGCTTACAGCTATGCACAGAAGAACGGGCAGGTTTTCGTGCCACCTGCCATCCACTGAGGGAAGAGCAAGATGCCCAGAACTCAGAATTTGGAGAAGGACTCGAGCACCCTTCACCCCTTCAGCCTGGGATGTTAGGTCACTCAATAAGTCAATATCTCAGTGCTGATGGCACTAGTGATGCCTATTCATGTCCACTTTCCTGCCTGGGATGTCCTTGGAGCCTTAGCCTGGGGAACATGAGTCAGCCTTTTAGGCTACCTGAAAAAAATCACCTATGTCCTGTCTCTGGGGGCATCTCAGGTGGTGCTAGTGGTAAAGAACCCACCTGCCAATGCAGGAGTCATAAGAGATGCAAGTTTGCTTCCTGGGTTGAGATCTTCTGGAGGATGTCGTGTCAACCCACTCCAGTATTCTTGTCTGGCGAATACCATGGACAGAGGACCTGACAGGCTGTGGTCCACAGGATCACATAAAGTTTGACAAGAAAGAAGTGACTTAGTGCACATGCATGCATCCTGTCTTTAGAAAAGAGCTGCTGGTTTCCACCGGCAGATTCTTCACTGGATCCTCAGCGTCTCTCTCAGGCACAGACAGCTACAACTTTGCTTAGAATAAAATCCTTCTTGATCAACTACCATGCAACCTTTATCATAATCATAAATAACTAAAGCAGATGATGAAAGTGAAGAATGTTTGCACTTGTCCCAATTTGAGAACTGAGGTACAGAGTTGATTCCAAGAAAGCAGGGAATATCTGAAGCTGTGGAATATTACTGTCATGCCCTGGAGCTCATCGGGGAGGAAATCAAGCTGTGCTTTTCTCTCATTTAGCAATTCCTGTTAAAATACAAAGAAATATGGAGGAGCATTATGCCCATGACCCTTTCTATTCAATTATATTCTTACACACAAGAAAGTAATATGCATTCATGTCAGCAATAAAATATTTGAAAACAATGGTTATAGATTTAAAGTATGATATATCTTGAATATCAAAAAAAATACTTAGAACATGATCTGGTTCTCTTAAATTAAAAAAGAAAACTTACAAATTATAATTTTAATTTATCCTTTCAGAACATCAAGTGGTATTTGCTGTTTTCAGATTTTGGGACAGACTTTTTCTTCAAAAACTTTCTTCACATCATTTTTTGTTTATGATTTTTAAGTTAAAGTTAACTGCTATAAAAGATATACATGAGCATGTCCAATGTTTGAACCTTTTATAAACTTCTTTTTACTTCATATAACACCTCAGCACAGGCTTTCAAATAGCAAAACAAAGAAACAATCAAAAAATTGGTATGGACTATACGATTTCTAAATAACTCTATAGCCTTAAGATGCCTTAATTTTTCTGATTTGTTTGTTTTACCTCACAATTAAAGCACTGTCTTCCACAGGTTTTGTGGAGATACAAAGGAAAGAAGCCTGCCACGTTAGGAGCCAATACCCGGCTCTATGATTGGATACCACAGAATGATCTTCTTGGTAAGAACAAGGAAATTCAATAAACAAGTTAACTATTTAAATTTCCACATTTTACTTGCACTTTTGAAGCACATATAATTAAAGAATTGGTCATTACGTTTATAAAATTGATACTTCCTCTGATTCTCAAAAGGGGATCTTCATTTAAGACTCTCATCATTCTTCAAATTTCAATCTCATTTCAGCTATTACCTCTTCAATAAGTCTTTCCAGACAATGCAAAGGGGATTCATTTTGCTAATTTTTGAGCTGAGTATTCTCAGCTTTCATAGAAAATATTGCCTTCTTCATTGAGTTATCCAAGAGTTTTGACCCCATGTCTTTCTGAAATTCTGTTAATGTTTCATGTATCATGAAATCCTTACCCACATGTCATCTAATCTCCAATCTAGGTCATCCCAAAGCAAAAGCGTTTATCACTCATGGTGGAACCAATGGAATCTATGAGGCTATCTATCATGGGGTGCCTATGGTGGGAGTCCCAATGTTTGCTGATCAGCCTGACAACATTGCTCACATGAAGGCCAAAGGAGCGGCTGTGGAAGTGAATATAAACACAATGACAAGTGTGGATTTGCTCAATGCCTTGAGAATAGTCATTAATGAGCCTTCGTGAGTACTACTGCTTTTATTTTATTTTGTGTGCGTGTGTGTGTGTTTGGCTGTACTGGGTCTTCACTGCCTCTCACAGACTCAGTGGTTGTGGTCTGCAGGCAACTGCAGTACTAGTTGCCCCACAGTACTACCACTTTTAAAGGATTATCTTAAATTATTTTACCTGTGATACTCAAAAGTGTCCAATGTTTCATGCATTTTAAACTAGTGTATTTTCAAATGTAAATAACGACTGCAACATTGTATGAGAACCATTTTATTATTTCCTCTCCCAAACTGCTGAAGTTATTGGCTCAAATTATAAAACAAAACCAAGATTTCAAATATTCTTGTAGTGCTTTCTCAAAATAAATAATGTTGGTGATTACATAAATTCTTAGATCTTTTACTGGACAATCTGCTTATGGACCTCCTAGTGGGTATTTTCTCTCAGTATAGAGTTATTTACAATCTTGATCTGGAGTAATTTGGAAACTATAATTCACACAAGGCCAATATCCCTTCTTGGAAAAATGAAGCAATACATTTACGACTGACTTATTCCATCTTTTTATATGTTTGTGTTTTACCTCATTCTGTAAAGAGTGTATTTCTTCCATTCCCCTCCTCATAACTCTTAACATGCTATGTGACCAGCAAAGTTCATGTCACAGCAAGCATTAACATTTTTTTAACATACCTGTGGCTTTTGTTCATATAGCATATGACATGCATCCTATACTTACCTTTTTCCTTAACTGGAAGATTTTTAATACTCAGATAATGAAGAGAAGATTACTATATAGATTATTAAAAATTGCTCCTAAAAACTAATCAGAAAAAAATAAAAATATAATATAAAAATAAGGAAAAGTTTGAACAAGAATTTTGTAGAAAAGGAAATATGAATTGGTAATAATCATTTGTTCATTAAAACCTTATGCATAAATAGATAAAGTCAAATTAAAACCAGGAGATAGTATTTTATATTTACCAGATTGGAAAAAATAAAGAAATTAATAAATGTGGCAAAAATTTTGACCAGAGTGTGGAACAACTAAAATCCTCAGAAACTTCTCTTAAAAGTATAAATTGATGTAACAATCTTGGAAGATGATTTGGCATTAGCTAGTAGTAGCTTAGACAGTAAAGCATCTGCCTGCAATGCAGGAGACCTGGGTTCGATCCCTGGGTAAGGAAGATGCCTTGGAGAAGGAAAAGGCAACACACTCCAGTATTCTTGGCCTGGAGAATCCCATGGACAGAGGAGCCTGGTGGGCTACAGTCCATGGGGTTGCAGAGTCAGACACGCTTGAGCGACTATCACACACAGTGACATCCAAGTCATGAACAGTGTCAAATTCCACTTCTAGAGAAACTCTTGCCTTTGCTATGTGAGCTTAAACATGCCACAAGTGTACATAGCAACATGGTCTATAGTAGAAAAAGAAACTGAAATAACTCACTGTATTATCAACAGGGGAGCTGAGTAAATCATGGTGTATATATCTAATGCAATACTACACAGTAGTAAAAAATAAACCATAAATGAACCATCAATACTGACAAATTTCACATATGATATTGAGCAAGAAAAGCAACTTCTTAAAAATACATATAAGATGATATTTCTTATTTAAAGTTCAAAAGCATGCAAACTAAATGCAAACAGGGTAAAACTACTATGTGGCAATAACAAACATGAATTCAGTCTTTACCGCCATGGAAAAGAGAGAGAAATGTGTTTGGAAAGGAATCTTCAGGGTAAGACTTTTAATTAATTATTCTTTCTACCTTATGTATACTGTTAAGTATAGGATACATTTAATTTTTTTTAAATATTGAAAATTGTATGTGTAAAGTTCTTTTAGCTCTGAAGGGAGGAGTCTTCCTAACAGACTGTGATGTATAAATTAGAGTCATGACCGTAGAGATAACGCTTTAGGAGAAAAGCTATGAAATATTACTCTACTTACCTTAAATGAAAACAAAACTCTATAATTTCTATGTTTTTGCCTACCAGTTATAAAGAGAATGCTATGCGGTTAAAAAGGATTCACCATGATCAGCCTGTAAAGCCCCTGGACCGAGCAGTCTTCTGGATCGAGTTCGTCATGCGCCACAAGGGAGCCAAACACCTGCGGCCAGCCGCCCACGACCTCACCTGGTACCAGTACCACTCTCTGGACGTGATCGGGTTCCTGCTGGGCTGTGTGGCCACAGCTGTATTCTTGGTCACAAAATGTTGTCTGTTTTCTTGTCGAAAATTTGGTAAAACAGGAAAGAAGAAAAAAAGGGAATAGATCTTTCTAAGTTTGCTAAAGGCTTGCATGGGCAATTCTGTTCATTCTAGCCACAAAGACCTTAAACATATCTTCATCCTATTTCCAAAATCCCATTCCTCTCTACCTTAACATAGATATAAATCCTAGAATTCAACAATAGCATCAACCATGGGCATGTTCCATTCTTTCTTTGTCTTTTCCCAGCTGGCTTTACTCTCTTCCTCAAAAATTCCTAAGAAAGGTACACAAATAATTTTATGTTTATCTATTCATAATATCAGGCTTCCCTGGTGGCTCAGAAGGTAAAGAATCTGCCTGCAGTGCGGGAGACCTGGGTTTGATCCCTGGACTGGGAAGATCCCCTGGAGAAGGGAATGGCAACCCACTCCAATATTCTTGCTTGGAGAATTCCTCAGACAGAGGAGCCTGGTGGGCCAGATACAGTCCATGGAGTTGCAAAGAGCTGGATATGACTGAGTGACTAACACTTTCACTTTCATTCATAATATCAATTTTTTATTTTTAACTTTAAGTTATATGCTGACAATATACTGAATCCTGAGGAACACACAAAATGTAAGTCAAAGCTGATAGATGCAGAGAACACAGAGAATAAAATTCACAGTTTTTGCTAGTACACACAAATTAGAAAACCATCATAGGAGACTAGTCTATTACAAGAAGAGTAATGATTTTATTTGTCATAAAAGACTTCTGCTTACTAAGTGTTACTGAGGTCAGAGCATGAATTGATAATAACTGTGATGGCATATCACACCAGGACAGTGAAAACCTGTAGATTTTCACTAAACACAGATAACCATACCTACATTCCTGACTTTAGTCAGAAAATATTCTTGTGTACCATTTTGTGCAAGAGACTGAGCACTGCCTTCAAGCAAGAGATCTATTGAATCATTGGTTATTTTTTTCTCAGGGGCAGAGAATGTCAGTAGTATGTTAAGGAAGAAGAGATAATTTTTAGAAAAAATAGCAAGAAATATAAAAAACATTTTAATAATTTTATGAAAATTGTAACTTATCCTACAATGAATAATCTTAAAGTTAAGGTCCAAATCATTATATTTAAAAATTTTTAATGCTCATAATCTATAGCCACTATAATCAAAAGTGTCATTTTATGTCAAAAAATAAATATTTACTCAACTGATACAATTATTATACTAGTTTTCAGTTTCTATTTTCAATAAATTTAAATTCATCAATTAATTGTCCAAAGATGTGAGATGTTAACAAAGCTATTCAACCAAGGATTGTTGTTGTTTGTTGTTGCTAAGTTATGTCTGACTCTTTTGTAAGCCAATGGACCATGGCCTTCCAGGTTCCTCTGTCCATGGGATTTCCCAAGCAAGAATGCTGGAGTGGGTTGGAATTTCTTTCTCCTGGGCATCTTCCTGACCCAAGTATTGGACCCAAGTCTCCTGCCTTGTAGGCAGATTCTTTACCACTGAACCACCAGGGAAGCCCCTCAACCAAGTATATGCTGTAGTAATATGTATGTAAAGCACTAAAGAGGAACAGTTATATTGGATTCAGCTTTGCATTAATTTAACAAATGCATTAAAGATTTTACTTTATCCATTATAAACTTAATGACATGCTTAATTGAAGTTTTAATTTCAATATTTGATTATAACTGAAAAAAAATAAATGGCATCCACAGGCTTACTGAACTTTTTAAGACTCCGAGAGATGCGGGTTCCATCCTTGGGTTGAGAAGATTCCCTGGAGTAGGAAATGGCAACCTGCTCCAACATGTTTGTGTACGAAGTCCCGTGGACAGAGGAGCCTGGTGGGTTACAGTCCATGGGGTAGCGAAGAGTTGGATATGAGTGAGCACACGTGCCCACACAGTCGAAAATGTACAATACTGAAAATGCAAATAAATTCTACAGATTTGTTGTGAAGGCTGAATATGTATTTGTTAAATGTTATCTTTCTAAAAAGGCGAGTCATCCTGATATGTTTTGACTTTAACAGTCGTGTTTTGAGAACAGCTATTTGCTCTATGCTCAATTTATTTTTGCTAATTAGAATATAGCAGATAGTTCAGATTTTATGAGAGCTGGGCTGGCCATTCCTGGCCAGCTGGCCGTGAACACTATCTAAGTGCAAGTACCCATTTGGTTTCTGAGATTGGACACCCATTACATACAGCACTAACTTCAGCTCCATAGATTCTGCTCGCCTGATAGCTCCCTTTCTGACCCTAGTTATCTACAGGTTTCTTCCTTTGCCGGAGAATCTCACTAATCTCTTATAATGTTACTGCTATCTTAGTGAGAATTGAAACTATGGAGGAAGAAACAGATGGTCAAAGATGTAGAAATGGAAGCACAATGCAATTGCTGAAGACGTGGTCTCAAACCAGGAAGAGAATGGTGATGAAATATAATTACTATCTTTCCCCATTGCCTAAATCCATCTAGAAGCTACATAGCAGAAGAATTCAATTAATTTAGTACACAGATGTGAGCATCCTGAGATACAAAATTTGAAAATAAAATTGAGGATCTTAGGTCTGGGGAGATAAATGAAGAATGATTAAAGCAGTCCAGGATCACCATTATGAGCAGATTCAGAGGAAGTGTTGAAGTGAGAATAAGAAAGAATGACTTGTTATTAGGAACAAAACTGGGCGTTCTTTCTTAGAAAACCAGGAGAGGATGATGCTTCAAGAATGAAGGGATGAATAATTATGAAATAAACATTCTAATTGATACATGGTATAAAACCAAGGAACTTGTTAAAATACATTAATTTCAAAGTAAACATGAATTATCAAGAAAGAGAACAATGCATTCAATTTTACAGATACAATCATTTACTTAAAATTGAAAAATTATTAATTGAATAATCATGAGAAGTAATAACAGCTCAATAAAATGAACAGCTCTGAAAAATTCTATGAGTGCTAAAATTCATTGAATATATTTTCTTCAGCTGTTTTGTTTGGTGATTTATGGACATTTCTCTATTACTTACAACCCTCTCATACAGACATGTTCACTTTATTAGAATGAGTAAGAAGGTCATATGCATTTAATATAATTTTGTGGAAATATATTAATTTAAAACAGGAAATAAAAAAGCAGATGTTTATATATAACTGTACATATTTTGTTATATGTTTGCTTGATATTTATTCAAAATTATGTATGCTAATACAGAGCCTCTCTGTAGGTCAGCTGGTTAAAGAATCCACCTGCCATGCATGAGACCTTGGTTCAATTCCTGGGTCAGGAAGATCCCCTGGAGTAGGATATGGCAACCCACTCCAGTTTCTTGCCTGGAGAATCCCCATGGACAGAGGAGCCTGGTGGGTTACAGTCCATGGGGTTGCAAAGAGTTGAACATGACTGAACAACTAAACACAGCACATATATTTTAATGAGCAACCACTAGAAATAAGTTTGAAATCTGATGTTTATTTCATTCACCATTTATTCAGCAAATATTTTTAGAGAAAATATGGAAACATTTTGGAGACTCAGTGTGCTTTTTTAGGGGATGTAATAGTTAACAAGATAGACACTGTATTTTTCTTTATGAAAAATTGCTGTCTGATAAGGACTTCTAATGGTCACATACTATAATCTCCGTTGCTGATAAATAAATAAGAACAATCATGTTCACAGTAGACAAATGCAGAAAGATATGGCAATTTTCCGGGCAAAGAACAAAGGAAAGACTCATAACTTTGAGAAAGCATGGATATGAAAATAATTCAAGAAGTTTATTATTTGTACAGCATAGGATTATACTTTCACCACCAAACATATCCACAACAGGGCTTCATTTCTGCTTTGGCTCAGCCTATTTATTCTTTCTGGGGCCATTTCTCCACGCTTCTCCAGTGGCATATTGGACACCTACCAATGTTGGGAGTTCATCTTTCAGTTTTGTATCTTATTGCCATTTCATATGGAGAAGGAACTGGCAACCCACTCCAGTGTTCTTGCCTGGAGAATCCCAGGGACCGGAGAACCTGGTGGGCTGACATCTGTGGGGTCGTACAGAGTCGGACATGACTGAAGTGACTTAACACCAGTAGCCATTTCATAGGATTTTTAAGGCAAGAATGCAGAAGTAGTTCTCCATTCCCCTTTGCCAGGCCAGTGGATGATGTTTTGCCAGAATTCTCCATCATGACCCATCTGTCTTTGGTGACACTACACAACATGGCTCATGATTTCATATAAGGCTGTGACTTTTGTGATCATTTTGATTAGATTTCTGTGGTTTCCATTCTCTCTGTCCTCTGATGGATGAGGATAAGAGGCTTGGGCAAGCTTCCTAATGGGAGAGGCTCTCATAATCAACAAGAGTCCAAAACTCAGTACTTGAGCACAATCTCAAAAATGACAGAATAATCTCTGTTCATTTCCAAGGCAAACCATTTAACATCACAGTAAACCAAGTCTATGCCACAACCACAAATGGTGAAGAAGCTGAATGGTTCTATGAAGACTGACAAAACCTTCTAGAACTAACACCCCAAAAAGATGTCCTTTTCATTACAGGAGACTGGAATGCAAAAGTAGGAAGCCAAGAGATACCTGGAATGAGACAAGTTTGGCCTTGGAGTACAAAATGAAGCAAGGAAAAGGATAACAGAATTTTGCCAAGAGAACACAATGGTCATAGCTAACATCCTCTTACAACAACACAAGAGACAATTCTAAACATGGACATCACCAGAAGTCAGTACCAAATCAGACTGATTATATTCTTTGCAACCAAAGATAGAAAAGCTCTATACAGTCAGCAAAAACCAGACCTAGAACTTAATGTGGCTCAGATTATGAGCTCCATATTGCAAAATTCATACTTAAATGGAAGAAAGTAGGGAAAACCACTATGCCATTCAGGTATGACCTACATAAAATCCCTTATGATTATACAGTGGAATGAACAAAAGTTTCAAAGGAATAGATCTGATAGACAGAGTGTCTAAAGAACTATGGGTGGAGGTTCACAACATTGTTCAGTAGGCAGTGATCAAAACCATCTCTAAGAAAAAGAAAGGCAACAAGGCAAAATGGTTTTCTGAGGAGCCCTTACAAATAGCTGAGGAAAGAAGAGAAGATAAAGGCAAAGGAGAAAAGGAAAGATATACCCACCTGAATGCAGTAGCTCCTCTTGGCCACAGCCCCGACCTTGGATGTGGGGTACCTCCTCTCAGCCGCTGCCCTTGACCTTGTTTTGGGGTAGCTCCTCTCCACTGCCGCTCCTAACCTTGGACGTTGGGTAGCTCCTCTCTGCTGCACCTGTGCCGTCGCAGCTGCCGCACTGCTGATTCTAGGAATCAGTGAACTAAGATGGATTGGAATGGGTGAATTTAACACAGATGACCAATATATCTACTGCTGGGGGCAGGAATCCCTTAGAAGAAATGGAGTAGCCATCATAGTCAACAAAAGAGTCCAAAATGCAGTACTTGGATGCAATCTCAAAAATGACAGAATAATCTCTGTTCATTTCCAAGGCAAACCATTTAACATCACAGTAAACCAAGTCTATGCCACAACCACAAATGGTGAAGAAGCTGAATGGTTCTATGAAGACTGACAAAACCTTCTAGAACTAACACCCCAAAAAGATGTCCTTTTCATTACAGGAGACTGGAATGCAAAAGTAGGAAGCCAAGAGATACCTGGAATGAGACAAGTTTGGCCTTGGAGTACAAAATGAAGCAAGGAAAAGGATAACAGAATTTTGCCAAGAGAACACAATGGTCATAGCTAACATCCTCTTACAACAACACAAGAGACAATTCTAAACATGGACATCACCAGAAGTCAGTACCAAATCAGACTGATTATATTCTTTGCAACCAAAGATGGAAAAGCTCTATACAGTCAGCAAAAACCAGACCTAGAACTTAATGTGGCTCAGATTATGAGCTCCATATTGCAAAATTCATACTTAAATGGAAGAAAGTAGGGAAAACCACTATGCCATTCAGGTATGACCTACATAAAATCCCTTATGATTATACAGTGGAATGAACAAAAGTTTCAAAGGAATAGATCTGATAGACAGAGTGTCTAAAGAACTATGGGTGGAGGTTCACAACATTGTTCAGTAGGCAGTGATCAAAACCATCTCTAAGAAAAAGAAAGGCAACAAGGCAAAATGGTTTTCTGAGGAGCCCTTACAAATAGCTGAGGAAAGAAGAGAAGATAAAGGCAAAGGAGAAAAG